TAGGCCCAATCAGAACAAAACGTGTTTAATGCTGTCTCATCGATCCATGGATATCCGCAGTATACTTCAGTACTACTCCGCAATGGTTGTCCGAGTGCATTCGGTCACACCGCAAAATTACGGTCACATCCCTGCAGTGAAAACAGATTAGCCGATGCATGACCACCGATGATTTTTTCATTGCACCATCGGGGTAAACAGTGGCTTGTTGGAATTAGTGCGTATCAGTAAACAAATAGGTGGTTTGACGTAGAAACTACAACATGTAGGATAAAGGGTTAAAGATGGACGGTTTTTATAGCATTGTATGGGAGAGCGAGGAGAATGCATTGGTCAGGCGGGAAATCGGTTAAAAAGATACAACAGTACGATCATTGTACGCATGAGACGTACCGTAATGGAGGGCAGACGTAAAAATATCATCCTCTTCTTGCCTACTGGGAATCCACACAGTGACAAAATTTCAGCTTCGCTTGAAGGTCAATCATATTAAATGCTCACTCGTAGGACTAGAATTCTGGTGTTAGCCTAGTTTGAATGATAATTTTTGCCAGATTTTCCATGTTTAAACCAAAGAAAAAGGCTTATTTGATGGAAGTTGACTACCGTTGAAAGTATACTGCTGGCTGGGGTGTTATATTTGGAGGACAGTTATGTTAATCCGTTTTTGGGAAAGCTGAAAGACACTTTTCCGAAAATAGTTTTCCTGGTTGCCTCAATTCACTCTTCATATTCTACACTAAGACCAACCCCAATTTAACCGATATTAAAGGTATCCTGCGGATTCCGTTGTTTATGTGTACGGCGTTATTGCAAAGGGCGTCAGACCGTTTTGCAATGTTCTATTTAACGTAACGCTTGCTAGGAATCACAAGGATTCTCAATTTCAATGTTATTGTCCCTCACTACTGGTTGAACGTTTCACTAAGCATGGTTTTTTATGATCGGTTAAGAGACAGTAAAATGTTAAAAGCCCATAGTATTCTTTGTTAGGAACATACCTTACACTTGTTACCGAATGTGACCAATTTATTAAATTCAAATAAAGATGCGTGACTACATCGGAGAACTTCCGTCAAGTGATTGAGTTTCGGCAGGAGATGTAAATGGTAATGATGTGCGTGTCTTGACTGTGCTAGAGCCTACCGCGCCTTGAAGAGCATTCAACATTGTTTGTCACTTCTTCGGTTGTTGGTCTTTAGACGCGTGTTTCAATACCAAAATCTTTACATACTTTGGGATTCAACTCATCAGACTGGAACTGTTCTTGGCATGATTTCGAATGAGACGTTTCTCTATTTTCTCCCATATTCTCCTGTTGCTCTTTCGCTTTCATTCATCGCTTGCATTCACCTTTTATGTTTGTGACCATGCTCTTCGAAAATAAATGGTAACAGAACTATGTGACTCCATGACTTATAAACTGGTATAAGATTACTCGTAGACATGTGACTATTCCTTTTTGTATAGAACATCCATGTTTCATGACTAGACTAGGGAGGCTAAACCGAATGTATGCACGTTTAGACGTGTATTTGAAAATTTGGAGGAAAAACTGGGGTTTCTACTCAACTCAAAGAACTCTCCTAAATGGGTGTGTTTGGTTCGCAAAGCTGAAGTTACGATTCACAATCAGATTGTCAAGCCTGAAAGCTTTGTTGGATTTCAGCTATTTCCTAAGGTAAGTGAATTACTCCTCTGATGGAATGTCACCAACACAACCTTTGTAAACCTGAGACGTATACTGCTACAACGTAAAGGCTTGCGTCCAGTAAGACTCTGGATCACTCTTAAAATCTTGATACGCTTAGCTTTGGTGGAAAAATCCAGCCAGATTCACCACGTTTTATAGTCTGATTTTTCATTCTTCTGTAGGAAGTTTTGGCGAAGTTGCAATCCAATCTCACGATACAACATTTTAGTTCATACACTGCAGTGAGTCTGCCTGCAACCTCTATTATTCAGGTTATTGAGTCCTCCCCGCCTTGTATGTATCCTAAAGGGTTTGTATGATTTCAGTCACTGATTGGCATTTTATCCTGATTATGCAAGCCTCATTCAATTCACCGCTTCTTGAGTATATAAGCAACTGCCGTAAGTTCATTAGTAGTGCATGGTTTATTTTATTTATTTGCCTATAGGATGAGAGCAGAACACTCCTTGGACACAGTCCATATTTGAATTGCGGATATCCTACTAATTCTAACCCTTTGACAAGCAAACAAAGTCTGTGAAAATCTTCAGAAACGGATGTTATGCTTTTCAAGAGAAAACGCCACAATTGTAATGTCCTTAAGCTTAGACATACCAAAACCAGTTGATTTTTATTCTTCACTAGCATACGCGACTTTACTTAAATGAGTTATGGAATTTCTGGTTTGAATCAATGATACATAATTGAGTATACTTTAGTTGAGCACAACGTTATAGTACGATTGTGTATATCAAATGAATGGAAATTGATGTGACAAAAACGAAAATTCGACGTCTTGCATGCCCCTTAGTGACAACACCTTCTGACACTGAAATCTCTCGCATTCCCTTTATAGCCTGACTTACTGCTGTGTCCGTATTATTTACTCCACGACATAAAACTTTGTATGAAAAGACCATTCCTCTACTTTGCGGCGTAGAGGTCGCGGTAACATCAACTCATCAAATTATAGCTGCCTTAGGAGTTGGGTGTTCCAGAAGGAACTGGGCTCTTGTATGTGTGGTGAAAAGTGACGCAGTTGTCTCGAATACATAAAAAGAACATAAAGACTAATTACAATTCGTCGGCTACAACCACATGTTTGTATCATTCTTCAACAATCAGTCTATTCTCTGTTTTCGCAAGAAAATCCGAAAGTGGAAAAATACAGACTAAAAGCAATTTATTATTTCCATAACCAGCATTTATCATTTTTGTTTTACTGAAGATGGCATTCTTTACGTCACGAAATGTGAGTTGGGGTACTGGTAATAATAATAATACGTCACGTTCGTTGCATCAGAGGATGATAATATCTGTTCTCTCCTTTTGATAACAACAAAATGCCAGTTATCATAAAAAGTGAATAAAGGGTGATTTCTCGTGCTGGGCCTTCGATCAAAGGCATTAGATCAAGACAGCGTTCATATTTGTGGGATACAATGGTGATATACGACTGCCAGTTCCATAGTCAGGTAGACCGAAAGATGCTATCCTAAGAAGTTTAACGGTGAGCTAAATTTTGCGAAACGGGAAAACTGCTAGTACTGATATCACATTAATCGTGACCATATGCGCTGGTTTGTTGCAATGCAAAAAACCTGATACCATATCACCAAAGTTCTCTCCAGACTTCCTCCAATCTTTTCCATCAATCCTTGTGGTAGGCTTCCGAGGTCGCAAATTCCTTCACTGTAACGGTGTGTTAGGATTCTATTGTGCCTGATAAAATTTTTCATAACAAAACTGCATTCCGACAAAATATGGACGATTTCTTTGACGTCAAAGGCTAAGCCAATGTGCAATATTGAACGAAGAGTTGATAATGAAACTGGGATGTTTGCGGAACAGGTTGACTACAAATGAACCCTCTTATCTGTCTATTGTGTCGTCCATCTAAAAGTTCGTTACTCAGACTAAAAAGTAGTACAGATCCATGCAGCATGACCTCTGCGACTTTGAGGTGTCTTGTTTTTAGGTTGGCTTGTAGCAAACAACAAATAATCTTCAAATTTCCTCTTCAATTCACATGAATCTATTTACACGCGATTTTAATCATGGAGACAGTTACTGTGCTGCGGTATTCAGAGGTATTATGTATGGAGTAAGCACTGACTACCTGATACTGAACAGACTTGTTTAGAAGAATGCTTCTCTCATCAGACGTAATATCCAAGTGGAGTTTTCACTTGGTGCTGAGAATTATGTTCACCAAAACTATTGATTGGAAAGGCGTGAGTCAGTTTTCAATTGGAATTCAGCCAGAAACAGGTGAAGTCATGTGAGTAACACTCACACATCCACACATGGGCGAAACTCATGGCATTTTGTTGTGCTGATTACTGAAAAGCCTTTCACAGGAATTAGTACGAATGTAATAATTATGACAGCTGGGGAAGGAGAAATTGTTTCAGACGGATTATGCTATTTTATGCTCTGTCGCGACTGGTACACCTATCGATTTGCCAAAATGAAATCTGATAAGTGGCGTCAGGGATTCAAAGAGCTGTGTTTGTTCCGATTCGGCAAAAACGTCCTAATCATAGGTGGGGTAGAAAATGGATGAAAGCCGTGCATATGCCACTTCAAGTACAAAGTTTAAAACTTTCAGTAAGTCTCCTAACTTCTTACGCAATATAATAACCTCACTAGTGCTTTATTTGAGCAACTTTTTTTCCATAGTTATAATACGCTTATGTGGTCTTTTTGTTCGCCCGCGAGCAGACAAATATATGTAATTTGGATGTCTGTTTTTTTAACATTTATCCTGTGGCTTAGCCCTCCAAAGCTTCGACAGTAGGGGAAGGTACTTGTGTACGTCAAAAAATTTATGTTCTCGCTTGAAAACTCAGTCCATCCTCAACATTGTATCGGGTTATTTTGTGACCTAAATCACTGGCGGTACACCGGCTCTTTTGGAAATGTTTTTTTGTTAGCTTTTTGAATCTTCCGTGCCAAGTGTGTACGATGAAGGTGCAAAAATATCTTCTAAAGTATATGTAAACGAGGAAATCATTTTTTTTTCAAAAATGATTTGCCCCAAAACAACATGTTTTGTGAACATTTGTTCATAGCTCGAGCCACAAGATGAATTCCTAAATGTTTCCGGCATGGTTCAATCAATATTTTTGTTCATTTTGCTGTATTATGTAAGTTGACACTTGCTTTGCAAATAGACGTGACAACCAATTGCCTGTCAATTTACAACAGCGGACCGTCAACCAAGGCATTTTAAATTCGGCCGTCTAACAGGTCCAGTTTTTAAGTCTAATATTTGTTGCATATTATGCCTCAGTTTTATGCACAATCAAAACATACCAAGTAGAGTGATTGCAATCCGTGGCCACGCCTTGTCAACCTCGTGAACGGAAAACCGATGAGCTGGGATGGTGGTGTGTTCGTTCTGGGACAAACTTGTGCGTTCTTCAGTTGATCGAATCAGCTCGACAGTCATACCCTGATCACGGTAGATTGGTTGAGCTTTCACGAATTGACTTATGTTAGTATTGCATGCGTTCGCTTTCCAAGACATGGAATTGAGCAGATGAGCTTGTACAGTCTGAACAGACAACAGAGCACTGTCATCATGAAGCCGTCGCTGAAGATCTGGTTTTGAGTCATGTCCGGTTCCAAAGTCGCCCAGATCGAAAGATTTCAACCGGTGCATTGTAAGCTGATAATCTTAAGGGTTTTCAGGCAAAATGTTAACATTTATTGAAATGAGGCTTGTATAAATTGTGTAAACCAACACCAATTTATGGTTCTAACACATAAGACGTGAAAGAATAACCGATGGATTATGCAGTTATTATGAAGACCAAAGTGCTCAAATCGCATCATCGTTCCCAAGCCACTCAGGAATCGGTCAACCCCATAGCGCTCCTGCGTAGCGTCACTATTTGATAACTACCCTGGAAGTAAATAAGCAGTCGTTCAGACCACGCGCAAAAAAGCAAAAATTAAAACCGAACGATTGCGGGACTGCGCCTATGATTTCATTAGTAATGGGAACCCACTCTGCGTTTTGGTCTGTGTTCATTAATTTGCAGAGTGAAGATGAGATACCTGAAATTTTTCTCCCACGAAACCTTCGTCTGAATGAATATTCCACACGGTCTCTTTTCGTTCGATTATGCCAAAGTATCGATTTTTGACATGGATCGATGTAAATGACCATCTGATCGTGATCCATTTAACCACACCTCAACTAAAAATGCCGAAAAGAACCTAAAACACCAGATTATACATTTTAAATTATTTGTAGTTTTAAGCAATGCGACCACTTGACGCTAAAATTAATCCATAATACGTATCATATAGAAAGCTGAAGTTCACTTTGTGAGTAGGATGACGAAAGATGAAATTAATGATGCAACTAACAACGATGCTGTTTTGATGCGATGGAGAATTTGCATATCGTAAAAAAATTGAAATCATTGTTCATACTCAAGACGTGTTGTTCCGAGGGATAAAAGATGGGAGTAGACATATGAAAGAATCAAATACCCATTCAAGTTTGCATAATTATTGAAAGAAATCTGATTATGTAACTTCAGTTCCAAGATGAATTTTCTTCGTTGACTTTTTACGTGGACATTTTAATATATGCTTAGAGCCTACCTGTCTATAAGTCACACGCATTTACCTCTTTCGAGTCTTTAGGACGATCAGATCCCCGGAGGGTATTTCGAAAAGACAGAGTATCCCCGAGAAAATAAAAAATCAATCTCTGTTGAAAACCCAAGCTTGGAACCTATTGAGCCTTAGGCTACCACCCCGCAGCAAACGAGTTTTCTTAGAAATTCTGGTCTGTGCGATAAACGACGTCGGCATGTCAGGAAGCCGATCAGACTGGCAGAATTGAAGGTCCAAGGAAAGCGTTATGTAAATTTTTCAAGCGTTTTTTGCTTTGAAATAGTGTTTATGTTTGCCAAATACTTTTTCACCAATTGGTTATAAGAGCCAGAATGTAGTTTATGGCAGCAAAGGCAGTCAAGTGATCATGATGACTGAAGAAATTCGATTGGCATCGCAAAGTTTACACGTACAGCTTTTGGGCCGTAAAAGGTTGAAAGGGACACTGGACCCGTTTATAAAAGAACTTGACACCAAAACGTTCGAACGGCTCAATATTCCAACCTTAATTATGGAATTTGTTGGTCGACAGAGACGACAACTAATATCAATCTTCAGTCATAAATCTGGTCCACTGTATTGTGATGGGAAAACGGTACAACAAAAATGTTACTCAGTAATCGATCTGGTTCACTTTTAAAAGCCGTAAAAGCTGTCTTTCTAAATGTTTGTGAAGCTAATCTCGTTGTAGAGAGTGTAAATCAACAGAATGACATGCAATTTTTCACAAATAAACTCGGAACTTCTGCCGACCTATTGACCCTAGTTAACCTGTATCGATGCCGTGCTATTCCATCCGGATTTCTGCACACCCAAATGTTTATCGCCAAACAGATAAGTAAAATATTTCAGCGCATCTATCACCCGGATTAATAATTTACATAGTCCATTTAAAAGAAGATTGTCTATCATTTGCCGTGGCATCATTAGTACCATGTGTTTCAGTTCTTGTCAACCTTGTCCGAGATCGGGCCATAAACGATCGACGAGTACGGTGAAGAATATAGTGGAGCTTTATTGTGTCTTGGTAGAGTCCATAGAACATGCATCCCATGGGCCGATAACGTTTGCAAGCACGGAGAATGCCTTGAGAAGGAACTTTGACTGAGTGAACAATTAGCAAGCGGTCAGCACATCACGGACTATGAATGAGAGAGCAGATTTTATCTTTCAAGCAGCATTTTGGATAGTAGTCACATTGCACACCAGGCAACCGATCTCAAACCTGAAAAGTGCTGGACTGATGAACTTCATCCGACGTGAGTTAGGCTTCGATACTTTTCTGGCCGTCAGGTAGGTTTTAGCTGGGTCGAATACGCGTGCGCCCCATGAGAAAACATTCATTGACACCGGCATCCTAGTTCAGCTCAGAAACCGTTAACCTCTGTCACTGAGACAACTGTGCAATAGTTACGTGATATGGCTAACGAGTTTGGCCACATTTTGACAATAGAATGGTCCCTCGGAATGCAGGGCTGAAAACTCAGTGATAAAAAATTAAGGTGAATTTGGCCGAAAATGAGTGAAAAACAAGGGCAATCAAGTATAGTGTCCTTCTGAACAAGTTCCTTCTAAGCAGTCTGCAGCTGTCAGAAGATGCTGGTTTTGTGTTTCGCGCCACTGATTCACACGACCACTTCTCTAGTTAATGTGCTTTTTTGCGTTTGTGATATGAATCTAGGGATCGCTGAAAAGAAAAGACATTTTAGACTGCTGGGTGAAGTTGTGGTTTAAGCCAGTTCACCACCCGGAGTAAGGGGTTTCACAAAGTAGCTTTATGGTTGCTGTGGTCCGTTATTTGTGGTATATGAGCAACTTATTATTCCGCGTGTGTTTGAGGAACTTACGATCTGTTCATCAAACTTGATAAAAGATTTAAATCCAGGTTTTCGGTTGCATCCCACCGCTTTCTGGAATCTCGGCGAATCATCCCATAATCATCTTAACGTGAGAAGTGTAAGGAACACGGTGATGACGATTTAACAGTGCTTTAGTACAACATATTGCGTGATCAGATTGTCTTACTTCTGTCTTATCTACGTGACTAGCGCTGGTAGGACACTTGGTTTGGGAATTTTCCGAGGTTCAAGTAACACGAGTGCACTTATCTGAAGTCTGAAGTCGTGTTTAACTCAACCAAATCTAATGTACTTTACTGAGTTTCTAACGATCCTTTCGAAGCAGCTGAACCAGGTGATTACCTTTTTTGCAGTCTAATTCTGCTGTCAACGCCAGAACGTGTGAAGTTTCCACAATGCTCTACAAAAATGTTTCGCAGAATTAAACTACTTCGAGTCACATATGATTTGTCACACGTTTTTAGGCAAAGCCAACGTTAGTTGAATCCGTTTACTGAATTTTTTCTTTACCAATTTTACAATATCCACGTTTTATATGACAGCTTGTCATTGAACAAGTTTAGCATTTGTGAGCTCATCCAATGAACATCATTGTCAGTCTGTTCTGAATAACAAACAAGCGTCCATCTATGTGGTTTGTATGAGGCGGGTACATTGGAAAAATATTTCCAAAGCACCTGCCTGAAGATTAGTTTTCAGCAGAGTATAATCGTAAATGTGAGTCGCCTATACGTGACTTTGTCGTGGACAATAAATCCTGGAATGGAATCGCATTCACAAACCGAAGCTTTCAATATCGGGAGTCGCTTGCCGCCTATAACCCTCGCAGAGATTTATGGATATGCAGTTGAGTGGCGACGAGATAAAAGTGATACTAAAGAATAGTTTGCATCCTTGGTTTAAGACAGCGTGAATACTGGATGCGATGTGTATTCCTAAAAAGGAACTCAGTATGGGATATACGTTTTCAACACGCATGCGTTCTTTCTGTTTGTTGACTTATCCAATTATAGATACAAATGCCTTGCTTTATCAGAAACGGATTTGATGTGATTAGACAGAGCTGTCGAAAACTGGAATTTATCAATTGACCGGTAACGGCAATCGACCATACCTCTATACTCTCAACGAAATATAGAGCGATGGGATTTCGGTGGGCCTAGTAATATCTCTAGTTCGTCGTTTCTTTTAGAACATTCTGCTAAGTTTTCGGAGTAAAGTTATGTGGGATATAATGTGGCAAAAACTGATAGTGTTGCATGTTGATGCATTTGGCAAACTTCTGGAAGTGATGTGAGTTATTGTGACGCATGGCTAAACATAAATTTTTCAGCTACTCATATTTGAGTTGCACTTCAAACAAAGTGAGCTCACCATTCTGTCCCGCTTTCCAGCCATCTTTATCGGATAAGCATATCATCCCGTGTGACCACGTAGCAGTAATCCCTCAACAAAAAGACTTTCGCAATCTCATATATACCGTTTATTGCCGGTGCCATTCCACAAATATGAGTGACAGGCTCCCCATCTGCGCATGCATAATGCCATATAGCCAGCAGCAAAGCAACGAACCCAACAATAACCCAATCCATAAATGGACAGCTCGGTCGCGTCAGTCGGAAATCAGCTGAAACATGCAAGCGTGTAGCGTAATCGGTTAGTTAGTTAATCGCAACTGTCAGATCTCCAAGGGTACGAATACCCTAGCAACAAAGCTGTATTGTTTACGTTGTGTCATCACCTTGGTCCAGACATTCCAATTCTAATCCCTCCAAACCGTTCTCATTTAAATTAGATTCAGGCAAATTAAGTTCATGAAGCTAACTTGATGCAGTTTTTAGAACCGTTTTTTTGCATATTTTAGCTGTATAAAGTAATTCCATACCGAATAGCGATGGAGTCACCCTCACCCGTGTTTGAATTTTACTAAATCCCTACGTGCTGTGTTCGTGCGCTCCACCTGTTGAGTAGGCGCAAGCACTCGTCTCCTTGCCACGTCATAGGAAACGCTAATTAGCGAATTCAGTGAGCCATCGCGGCACTCAGTCTAGGCGACTGAATGAACAATGAGTGCCAAGCTAATTTTATGCACTTCGTCAAACTAACGAAGCACCACATGAATGAACCCTGACTTTTATCTTGTTGGCTATGCTCTTCCATCCACAGTGGACAACACCCACTTATCCATGTCTCTAGAGAATTCCGATACGCCACCCAGATAGAACCTGTTTTGTTCTGGCAAACGGCAATTGCGGTACCTCATTCTCCTCTCGTCGTTTTTAATGTAGCAGGTGAAATTTCAATGTCAACCGGGAATATTCGGTCTGAGATAAAAAACGGAAACAGTGTCCTGATATCATTCATCAGACACTCTGAAGATCGACATTTATGCTAGCCCATGCCCAAGGGCTACAAACCGTCGCAGTGAGAAGTTTTACAGTTTCAACACAAAAGCCAAATTATCCCCACTATATGGTCAGGCTATCCTTAAAATTTAGTTCGTTTACATACAGAAATTTAATAGCTTGGAATAATATTTACTGAAATTACTGCTATAAAGCCCATGAAGTCCTCTATTTATCCGCTTTGGATTTTTTTTAGGGAAGGAAAAATACCTTGAGTGCAACACATTACGTCTTCTGATACAAATGCCTGCGGGTGTAAGGTTTGGGTTCTTGATCACCGATGTTCGACTAAGATCCGGTCAAAGTTGAGGTCTTAGCGAGCCGTGCAGTAATGCTGTTCGCGTTTGAGTTCGTTCATGGGTTTATGGCATCCCTTAGTTCCACTAAGGTTTCATCTCAACCGATTAGACTTTGAGCTATTCACTAATCAAATGATTATCAAGATTACTTTAGGATGGACATCGGTAAGCTACACTAACTAAATAAATATATGGAGATCTATTAGTTCCACCAGTCTTGAGCCGCTTTGTCTTGTTACTTTCTGTTCTGGGTTGGTTGTCTAATATCTCTACGCACAAATGGGAAACTGCAAAACTACGGAAACCTCGTATGTTAGAAATGATCAGCATGCGCAGTTCTTTTTAATCTGACAACAATGCGGACCCCACAGAAATTTGCAAAGTCATGAAGCGTTGAACTGGCGCATTTTGAAATGTTTGTCCAGGTTCTCAAATGTAAGTTTCCAATGACTAATTATGCGGAATTAACGGGTATAGACCGTATTATTCAAGTTGTGCATTTCGCGCAATCTCATGTTAAAGAATTCGTAGATTATTGAGATCGAATATGATACAAAGGAGTTGGAAATTACCCTGAAATTCAGCAGAACAGAAAAGGTTTGCGAGCGATCCTTTTTTCTAAGGCTGTTCGCACTGGCTAATAGGCCAGATACCTACCTTACCAGAAATCACCGGCGGGGGTTTAGTGAAGTCATAAGGTTTATGTCCTTTAAAAAATGAGTGGATGTATGCTCTCGACAAGCAAATAAGTCAAGAAAGTGGTGTCACCATAAGAAAAGCTCGTGAAACTGAAGTGTTGGTTTACACATTTGTGCTCAGAGGTCACATGCTTTTCTTTTTGGCACAGGGAATCATTCGGACTTCAGCCGTCCTGCCATCGTCTGTTGTCTGGGTACCAGCGGTCGTCATCAGGTCAGATGTATCATGCACACTAATTCGAAGGTGTGCGCATTGTCAATGACAAGATTGGTTTTGGATCCACTTGGCTTAGTTTCACCTGAGCCCGATTTCTTCCAAATACTAATGAGGCACGAGGGATTTTCTTTGCATATTATTCATACAACCACCTTTCCATAAGAGCAACGCATTGACTGGTAAGAACATACGGCTCACTGTATACATTGAGTGTCGTTAGAGCTCCATTGACAAGTGATGTGTACACTTAGTCTGCTATCCACATATGTGGAAAGTGGGCAAACAGATGTACGACATCAAAGTAAACGACAAACCCCCAATCTTTTGAGAAACCCAGAATGTCTGTTTTGACAGTGGGTCTATGTTGGGATTATACCCACTGCTCACGATGTCCAAACCTGGAACTCCGTGTATGCATTCACACTTATCAAAGAGCTCGCTGGCGGATTGAATTCCAATTACCGTTACTCTCGGGCTGATGCAGTTTGGCCCACCGTGTTTCGTCGACTGTCTTTCAAGAGTTCTGATCAGAAGAATGTCTATCCGGCAACTGCCTCAAAGAGTTTTTCTTTTCAATAAAACTTGACTCATTCGTCACCAAAATATCAATATCATAGCCTGATGTTACGGGTTCCAAGCTCAAAGTTCTTGACTTATGTTTGTTTCCAGACAGGGAAATTTCGTTTTTGGTTGGAGTTTTAAAGATTGTTGTCGTCTTCCAATGATCGAATTTTTGGTCTGAGTTTGGTTCTAGCAGCCCCCATCCCTGAGGTTCAACCTCCTAACCTGACATGGAAAACAGGTGAGGGTTAGGATATTCCTCAGATGGCTCGTTATAAACCGATAACCCAATGGTTTGAGCCATTTGGCTGCTTAGCATAGCAGGTGCGTTCTGCGTTACACCAGGCTATTTTTTTTTGAAAGCATTTCAACTGTATTGGTCACTTTGCCCGCAGTCATGGTTGAAAGACGGATGAATGTAGTGTACTGATTTGGGACCGACAAGTTATACCGCCTTTCCTAAGGTGAAGGCAAACACGCGGCTTTCGGGAACCACTAGTTATTTGGAGAAAACACATGTTTGACGGTGAACGTTAGACTTTACCCAAGACCATTTCTTGTCAGGGTTGCTCTTTCTCCTCTGCCTGCTCGTTGTTGGATTTCCTGAAAAGGTCAAGCCAGCACAGTGGCTGGTCTAGTGAGTATGACTCTCAGACATCGCAGGATTCAAAGCTGTTTACCAAAACATTACGGCAGTTTACGCAGACGGCTAATACTTGCCAGTGGCTGTCAGCAGAAGATCCACTTGCAATTAGACCTTTTCAGCCATTAATTTACATTTCATGTATATTTGGGCTTAGTTATTTGTTTACACAGGAATCACTGATATAATAAACATATTTATGGTCACTATTGATAACAGACCAACTTGGAGATCGCGGTGTATAACAAGTCAATTATTATCAACGACTGCCAAATTTGGGTTGGATTGCATACAGGAATCTACAACTTACTCAAAGTTGTCCTTCTTGGACGACCCAAATATCTCAACATCGGTCTTCTCTTTGAAAAGCGGCAAAGATGGAACAATTTCACTGACCATAATTTCGGCTTCAAGTCCAAAAGTTCCAACTACTAAATCTAATAACTTCCTCCAGTGTTGCAGAATTTACACTCAGTAAAGTGAAACAGTGAGACAGAAATTTCAAATCCTTAGTCGGACAATAATCGTACGGTCGCGGTAATTTTTTGGTTCCTAATAGGTTTATAACCAACATTCGCCCATCGGAAGTTTTTCTTGAGAGGCCACTGCCACGAGTTTGTAAAAACTGAAGTGGATGACACCCACAGGGGGGACGCACATTAAAGCTCTTTTGTTCGGGGAATATAAAACGTGTTAAATTTTGGCTTAGCCCAGGGTGGAAATATTCATTACGGAATGATGGCGCACCGTGACTGATTTCATTACGCCCTATATCCTCTCACACTATTGATGAGAATTATTCTTTGCGGCTGCGGTCATCCGTTGGTGTGTCTTGGCGATCAAAAAACAACTAAGTAATTTTGTGCTGCGATGGTATGCAAATCTACGTTATGACTACAAGAGGATCGTGAATGTTAGTTGGTTGACGGAATCTGCCATAAAACTGCCGTCTGCTTCAAGGTACAGATTCATTTTATGGGTAATTCGATGGCCTCCTTCAACGGCACTTAGAGAACCGATTTATTTGAACATCTGTTTCAAAAACAACTTCGCTCTTTTTGCTTGGACTAGTTCAAGTTTAAGTAGACATAATGTCTTGGATCAAATTAACGGAGACGTGATTTTGAACGCTCTTTCTTAGTCATACTTTGGAGAAAGCTGAGTTTTGCTGAAACTCCTGCGGAGAACAAACCTCACATATACCGGTTATGTCAGGTTATATTATCAGATCGAGGGTAAGGTTCATGCCGCATCTGCAACACCTCAAGTGAAACAGGCTATCTCAACCTTTGAGGCACTACGAAAACGCTCGGTAGTTTTATTGTGGTGCTAGATCAAGGCTTTCAAATTTCCCTCACAAACCGTTATCTCCACCAACCTATGAAGTGTACCACTGGATGTATTTCGTAGAAAAGCAGTGTGACACATATAACAATAAGATATTTGGTGTAAAAAGTCATGCGCAACCTTATCCACTTACTGTTAATTTTGTCCTGGTATTTTCCTAGCAGTATAACATCATCCGGAAAATCTGAATCCGTCCGTACTTTTCCATAGGAAGACCTATTATTCTCCACCGAAGCAGACGTAAAAACCATTATTCGAAAGGCACCTGAGGTTACCGACCAGTGATCGTTTGACTTTGTTGGCAGGTCAACTAGCTGAATTGCTCGGGTAAGGGTATCTTTGCTTGCACGACTGGGGTGATGTGGTCGGTTCTGGAGGGGATGCGGTGTCATTTGCTCTTCTTTTAATCTGGGCAAATCGATTGTATATTCTAAACGGAGTTGCGCATTGATTCTTTGTCTCCTCAAGTGACACTGAAATGTGCCGTTGATGAAGCCATATTCCGGGATTAGAGAGAATTTGAAGGTATTACCTGCAACAGTTAGGAGGGGGTTGCATTTGGTGCATTCTAGTTCTGCTAGCAATACGAAGAGTGCTTCAATATTCACGCATCTACCAAGCAGCAAAAACTCACTCAATAAAAAAATGCATTTGGTAAGAAAATGCATAATAACACATGTGGTAAACTCTCTATCCGCGGAATTTTACTCATTTTCATTGTTTTTTTTTGTAGCTTGAAATCAGTCCTGACATTAGTAGGCAGGATCACGTCAGGTAGCATGACAGCTGTCAACCATGAGTCGCATGCCAACAACTTCAGGCCTAGTCTGAATCTCAAACTTGTTCAATTTGCACACGTTCTGAAGACGGTAGGAAACAGTTTGAAGGCTGGAAGTATAAAATTCGAGGTCATATGTCATCTGGCAGCTTAAGAGACATGCAAGTACGCTGTGAGACCATCCTAGCCTACTGTGTCGAGAAATACTGGATGGGCGAATAACGAGTGTTTGGCAATGAAGACTCAGTGTCGTTCATCTCGTACTGAACGCGAACTTGACCAGGTTGTCGAGTCACGCTTCACACATTTTTGTATGTTCAATGCTATCGTGACTCATCTCTAATGACGGTGTGTAGTATTCAAGCTACGCATGCGAATACTCACGTATGCCCAATTGCAATTTAACTGACCTTAAATCCAAACAAGCTGGACGAATCGACTGAGGTTCCACATTACATTTGGAACCAACCTACAAAGAGAGAAGCCGACGAACGTAAAGAGACACACGTCAGGACAGACTTAAGCCGCACTCTTTCGGCTTACTGGAGCTATCGAAGCTACTCGTTCCGCCAAATCCTGTGCTACTTCCTAGCCATTCAATCTATTTTGAAAATGTCAGAGACACTACATAACTATGAATTGTTGTTCGGATCATCAGAAAAACACATCTAACGACTCACTAAGGAAGGTGGAAGCGGATTCCTGCTGATCAAAATTTGTGTATTACAACAATCATACCCAAAAATATGACACGTATCATTTGTGGACAATTTTAAATTTTTCCTAATTTTTTAAACGAAGTTTTCACGACAGATAATAACAGTTTTTTAAAAATCGCATTCAAACAAAGCCGAAAGCCTTCCTCAGAGGGGCGTTGGATTTGTTAGCGATATAATTAATACTACAGACTCGTGGGTCAGTTGCTGTAGGAAACTAATGACCGCATAGAGCATCGCCGCTGAACAACAAGCGTTGAACACAAACCATACCATAAACTGGCGCACTGTCCCGATTCAACAGATTCTAGAGTCGGCAAATGTGTGAAGTTCGGTTAGTGTTTGCGTATGCGCTTTCGCTTTTGCACCTCAACCAGCTTGCGAGATTTCATTTCTGAGTTATTTCGTGACTGGACTCTGGTGTGCGGAGACTTATTTTAGCTGCAAAGAACCTAAGTTCCATTCTGAGGCCTATATTCTTGAATCCGGGATACGATAAAATCAGTCGATCCACAGCCATCCAAAAAGATGCCAACCAACCTAATTTAACAACCTACACATTCGTTTCAATTTCCTGTGCAATGCGGCAGCTGCAACGCGAATGGAGAATATCAAATCAATTGAACTGTCGCGTGTAAGAAGTCTGACTGGTGGACACACATGAATTATTGATCCGTTGAGTGGAGAAGTGAATGTAGATGACGTCAGAAAAGAAATATAACTACTACTTAATGGGAATGGAAAGAATATTTACCATATATTCTACCCATGAGAGAGGAATATACAGTAGGAGAAGTAAACTGGTACACATTTGCATCGAATGGACACACCTGCTTATTTCCTCGGGGCAGTTTTTGTCTCTATGGTTTGTGGCGGTTGAATTAATTTCCAAGTGTACAAAATCGGCAAAATGTCTTGGCGCAGTGTGAATTTTTATCTAACAATGTCTCTTTCTGAAAAATATCTTCCACTATTTAGTTTTTAATACCTGAATGTGACCAAACAACGGGATTTTCCAGGTCAGGGAACAAACTTGCCTTTTACGTAAAAATAATCTGTTCTTTTAGCCAGTACTAAGTATGTTGCACTAGTTTCCATGTGGGCGTGCTATGCTATTTACAAAGTGCTTTGATAGAATATACCAAATTCATAATATGTTCTTATTATAGCGAGGATTTTCGCTGAAATATTCTCAGATAAATAGACAGGCTGCTTTCAGTGGTTTAGCTGAGAATGTAGTCAGATATCCTGTCACTGTTCTGACAACTCATACGTTATTTGGTTCTACAGTTTAATATTCATTGAGAATTAACTTCTTTTCTTTCCAAGCACATCTCTTCTGTGAGTAAGTAGCCCTTGTCTTGGAATATCTTTACCGGACCCTATCCTATCATCAGTGCGCACTGATGATGTCTCCTCGTATGGTGCAGAAACTTTCGCAAGCCAATTGCCAAGCTCAGCGAACTGATCAACAGCCATCTGATCAACAACCAATAACACCCATAATGTGTGCAATCTCTTTCAGACTCTTCTATCACGTTGTTGATAAGTTACACTCGTTACGATATAAACCATTAGGCTCATTTAGCTGTCTATCATGGCAGCTCTTTCAAAACTCACAGTAAGCGTTCTTGCTATGTTTAACTGGAGGGATTACAGTAGAAAGTAGCCCTGAAGAGTGCTGCTTGTGAATGTCTGCAGCTGAATATAATCTGGCGTGGTGACAATTAGAGGAATCTCGTGTTCGTATCAGCAGAGGTAATTGACAACACACTTGCTATTGGATTAAAAGGTATAAGGAGTAAGATCGTGGAGAATTTCTGAAGTGACATGAACAACATCCATTTACTGCACATCAGATGCTGAATAAATACCAGAGAATTTTTGGTTGAGACCAGACAATTTAGGTCCCGATAGCTAATGCACTGAGTGCATCAACTTCTACCATAAGCCAGTGGTTGTTTCCCAAGTGTGTTACCAACTCCGCTATCGATCAGCATATCCAAAACAGTGAAAATTTCCACATGAACTGAAAAAAACGTTACATAAGGCGAAAGAAAGTAAAGTCCTAATGGGGTCAATGGGAAAATGTCAAGCCGTCTTTTAACCAGTCTTTTGAACGGAATGCGGCCTGTCATACTTCCACCAAACACAACCAAAGAAAAATGGTGCAGCTACTAGCGTTATTACAGTTACGCATGTATGCCAGTAGCCATTCAGACATATATAGATGCACACGGTAGTTTTTAACTCACCTTCAAGACAAATCGGCTTGTGAATCCCCGATGTCCCCATATCTGACAGGTTGAATAGGTCACTTTCTGAAAAACAACCAGGACTGTGATAGGCCATGCATGCGGGTGTATTGTAACAGACGATTGTGCAGCACTTCGTTCCGCTGTCCTTGGTCGAATCGTGATTTGGTTGTTCCTCGTCTGTCGTAGGATGCACATTGGGGTGATTAATTGGCTAACGCTTCATAGTAACAGGAATATCGTGGCTGACGTTTTGGCAGACCCATTTACATAAGTGACCAGAAGAGATTAGTTGGCGACTGTTACACTCAGCCACTAATGAGTAGGCTCGGCTGTACATGGTAAACGATATGCTGGAAATTAATGTCACTGACGTTCCTGCTTCCAGTTTCTATCCAGACTGTCTGACTTTGTCCGGGGTGTGTTCACCTCAGATGTTTGTCGAAAGCTAGCCCTAGGTCCCCTTTCATGCCTTAGTTTTTCTGTTGAGGGTTATGCTCAACAAATTAAATGGTTGTATTTCAGTCTGCAGTAATGTTCATGATAGCTAATGGTATCTCAGAAACATGGCGTTTGATCCCAACTGTATTGCGTTATCCATTGATTTACGCCGGTCGTTATTCTACGGATACCATTTTGGTGGTCTCAATATGTGTGCAGTGAAAGGGACATTGGTTGAAATGTACTACAAAGAAGCAAAAGTATTTTGCAAACGTTTCGTGTCGCTGGCGAAGATTTGTTTTAGTTGTTCAGTGAACAGGTAATTCTGCGTCAAATTTATCTGGTTACATTTGAACCTAGCTCATATCGAACAGTGTTGAAGACTTTTATCAAACCTTTGTTTGTCTAAAAAATGGACATATTGACTATTGATTTCTACGTCAGCGTTATTAGGTGTCACTACAGCTAAAACAACTTTGCTGGATAAATCCCATCGAACTAGTTCTGCTTCAAGTTTTCAATTGCCTAGGATGGCTACTATCCGGCAGATTAAACCTTTGCGGTAAACATGATTGTGGAACTTCTAAATGTCACAAACACCTTTGAAAATTGCCTTTGATGGTTTACAAATACTAGTATTTTATGGCTATTGCTTCATGCGGCAACCGCTGTGGAATGCACTGACAACATTCAAGGGGATTTTAAACACATTTTGGCCTGAAAATAGTGACTTGTCTTCGGCTGAATGTGGTCGTCCTGCATTCAGTTTTAAAGTCCATATTACCTAATCTTGACTGAGCACAAATGCTCACAGTTTGCTTGGTCCTATTGGTACGTGTATGGTGCAGTGTCTAAGAAAGCTAGTAAGCTTAAGTAAGCTTAAGTAAGATAGTAAGTTTCAAGTAGAACATAAGGTTGACGGAAACCCGGCGATTGCGACTACCTGATGAGCCCCAAAAAGAGCGAAACCGGTCAGGGGCTGTCGACGGATTTTCAGCAACCTTATGAGTAGTACATTACAAGGATAGTAAGCTCTTTTCTCACAAGCCACGAATCGACACCTTTATCCTTGTAGCTTACCAGGTCAGTTCGCACTTTTGGTTGGTTAACGTTTCAGTTTACTAGCGAGGCGTAAATAAAGCTGTCTGCTGTTCGTAAACTAAAGTGCTGAATCTTTAGTTGAAAGTTCCCGTCCAGCAGAAGGGCGATCAAATAAATCAGGCTGTTGTCACAATGCTGAGGTTTCTTGACATGAAATGATATGGTCCAAAAAGAGTGACTTCACTGTCTAGATCCCTCTGTAGATTCTTTCAACGTGTTTTGACGCCCGTTAGTCGCTGGTAATTTAGGTTAATTGGATCGGCTTATTTCGTAAAAGGGACTAGCAATGATATGTAAAGTGACTGAGTTATGGAACCCGGGGATCACGGGTTGCGTTGAATAATAAGAGAGCATGCGTTCTTTTCCAGCAACTTGTTCTTCACCTCCACAAGAAACAGCGTAAAACTGCAAAATAATCAAGAGAAATTTTTCGTGTGCGCTCATTCACTGCAAGTTCAGACAAGATCCGTACATATAATGTTCCTGTTTCATTCGTGGATGTCCAGACCGGGCTGGTTTGTTGCCACTGAAGCTCCCCTCAGCGGAAACCATGAGGATTTATGGCACCAGCCGAGTGATACACAAGGAGGACAATCTTTTCTGTATGCCAGTTGATGTTTCGTCGCGACCTGCGTTACCTTCAAAAACATTTGTTGGAACTTGCACCTTAGGATACAAACCTCTTATTGCTATCCCCCAAGCCGCTTTCCCAATTCGCTCTTGCGACTTCGGAACTGAACGAATGAACCAAATAACCCACGTCAGACATCCAGAGCAGCGAAACCAGTTTTGTGTTACAAGGTTATTTTTAATCACTCATGATTTCTATCTAAAAAAATGAAACTGCTGAATCGCCTAGGCTATTGTAATACCAATTGTCTTAAATGTAGTTTGGTTGCTCTATGAGAACGGTTAATAATACATCGCCAGAGCTACCCTAATCAGGACGTCCTTGAGTTTCTGCGGTGGCCAACTAACATAAACGGCGGTTTACTCTCTGCTCTGTTAGCAACAATGTCGTTGGTTATGGTTGTGCTACCAGCATTTCCCACTGGCGTTCTCACTATTTTTCACATTTTCTTCAATACATTTTACGGAAGCCCAGAAGCTGGATGGCTGGGCGTTATTTCATTAGGAGCACCTCCATTGGATTTTTGACAGAAAGTGCGCTGATGAGCAAAGCCAAACTACCTCTTAGTCTAGACGCTATTGATCAAAACTCTCATTGTTTCCAAACACTTTAGAACGAATCCGGTAATCATGCTTCCGCATTTTTAAAATAATATATTTTCACCCCAAAAATAGAGAATTCCAGGAACAAACAATGACTATTTTCGAAAACATTATCACAATACTACTGAGCCCTGCTACAAAATGCAGATAGAGAAACTCAATTTTAAAGCCCCATCTATGAACATTTTTAAAATTTGTCAGGGAATAGCGTTTAATCCTTTATGTGATTCAGTCCTCTTGCTCTTTTCTTATAGGAAATGCGTGTCATTGTTGCCGGCTATGACAGCCGATAACCAGTGACACATGTGGAGGCGTGTAAATAAGCTGTGTTAGAGGAAGTTTGCGGGTTACTTATCATTCAGTCAACTTACAAGGCAGTATACAGAGTCTACTACCAGATAACACCTTGTAATCAGTAGGAAGAAAGGTGTTGTGCAAATCATTGGGCTATTTCCACAATATAGCATCCAGTGTATGCTAATGAATTATATCAGGTAAGTAAATAAGTAAAACAAAAAGTAAGATGTCACAGTTTATGGAATCTATTGCTACCGGAAGGTGGAACCCAGAACTCTGTGAAGAGAAGGAGTCAGTCATATCACTCAACTCCCTTGATAACCGATATGCTTTCAACATCTCGATAATAAAGACTCTCGCTATCTTTCATTCATTTATCCGAAGTTGTTTTGTAGCATGCACCCGAAACGGTACAGCAAAGCGCAGCCGGGTTATCCTAAAACGGCTAATTTCTGTGCACTCTACTCAAGTTTGTAATGGTATTGACGTGTCCTATCCAATAACTAACTGACTTCCACGTCCTGGGAATTGAATAGAAAAATGTTATCGGGATTCATTAGGTGTGAATTGTATTTATTATTGTATTTAATAACTTTAACAGCTTAGTGCTAACCCTTATTTATCATACAAATAAGGCTTGTTCAAGTGTAACTGGTGATGGCCTAACTGGAAGTCAGCACTACTTGCCTGTCATCACATATCTCATCATGGGTCGATCCAATCCTTTGTGAACAGAAGCAGGCATTGTCCATTCTACTCAACAGGGGTATCACGACATAGATAGTTGAAACAAATGTGTTGCAGCTGAATTACGCAAAGGTAGCCCTGAAGAAAAGCAAAAACTATAAACTACAACTATTAACTCCGACTATCTAGATTTTTCTGACTTGTGGAACAATTGCGTGATCGCTTTTTAATCTCACGTATCTAGTCAGGCAATCGCACCACTGACACTAAACAGTCCACCCTGTCACTTTAAAGGTTGTGAAACACGTTAAGATCCGTTAGATAATCACTTCGTCAGGTGTGTCTTAAGATATCGTCATCTTTTCAAAAAGCCCCACCATAGGCAAACAGATGAAATTTCCCGAAAATAGCTACCAGCCTTTCTGTGTAGTCAAACTTTTCTAACCGCAAAAGCACGTACGTCCACGTCCGAATGCCGTTGGCTGATGGCGCAAACAGTCGCTTCTACCCAAATCAGACAGGCATTGCACTGAAAACTGACTTCGATCAAGATAACGCATAAATCCAGAAAACTGACTAAAAGAGATGGAGCATACTGGTGCGATTATCTCAAGGTTGTTGAACATTGAATGTGCTTCCTATAATCTGATTCCACAAGCCGCTAGTTTCCTCAACTAAATGAGGTTCAGTACTGCCCTTGGGGTGTTTACGCATCACACATTACTTCTAACTGTTGGTTGCAATTAGTAGATATTTCGGTATTCAGTTTTATTATGAGAAACAGTCAGGGCACCTGGGGCAAAATAATATAACGTATCGATTTGTAGCTGAGCAGCCTTTGGATGAAAAGGATACTGCATCTGAAAAACTAACTTTGTAACTTATTCATTCATTATATGAGCAGGTATGTTGAACAGGATTATTGATCACAACCCGGAAACATCTTAGAACGATTTTCGTTACCTATCCAGGTCGAAAAGGAATAATTCGACTTTGTAACTTACTGAACTAGACGAGCCGCTATGTAATTCATACAGATGTTGGACAGCAATAGTGCACACGCAAGCTGTCAGGAGGTAGGGCCAACAAAAATGAGCCAGGCGAGCGCGTCTAACGTCAGGAAGTGACAGTTTCAGGTAGGTGACAGGGTGGTGAAGTGAACTGACATGCCACTCCGCGCAATAAATAACGCATGAAATTTGTAGCCTGCATATTTTAACAATTTTTCATGCTATGATATTCGGCAGTAATATACATTGAATCTTTCCGGCTAATTTCCCCGATTATCTGTCACTACCCAGCCTGGTGTGTGGTTTAATAAGCATATTTACACTTACACTACTTTCTATTGATAAGTAGGCAAAAGTGACGGAGATAACGGAGTGCGGATATTAGATTCCTGTGACCTGAAGTATTCTTGC